ACCCACATGCTTTGCTTTCCCCATATGAAGATCCCTCCCCTTCCTCCCCCCTCCCCGGAGTGATCTGTTTCTTACACTTGCTGAGTTTACATTAACACATCATTATCACCCAAGACCGTAGTCTGCTTTAGGCCTCACTGTTGGTGTCAAGCATTCTGTGGGTCTGGACGAATTGATAATGGCATATATCCACCATCATAGTGCCATTCAGAGAATGTTTACTGTATGGAATTCTGCTAAGAAAACCCTGAGTCAAGAGTCAGTTATAAACTTTGCCCTACTTTAGTTTTGTGTTAGCAAAATAGCTTTTTTTTTTTTTTTTTTTTTTTTGCCTATACATATGTGCTGTAGAATTAGTTTGTCAATATACAAAACATAAATTTCTGGGATTTGATTGTGATTTAATTGAATCAAAATATTGGGAAGAATTTATACCTTGAAACTTCTAAAATTTATTATTATTTGTTTTGACAAGGCAGATGGGGAGGGAGGGGGGAGAGAGGGAGAGAGGGAGAGAAGGAGAGAGAAAGAGAGAGAGAGACAGACACTCCCATTCCACATTCATTAGTTCACTCTCCACATGTCCACAACAGCCTGGGCTAGGCCAGACCACAGCCAGAAGTTGGGAACTCAATATAGGTTTTCCACATGGATGGCAGGGATACAACTCCTTGAGCCATCACTTGCTGCCTCCTTGAGTGTACATTATTAACAGGAAGCTGGAATCAGAGTGGAACTTGGCATTGAACCCAGGCACTCTGATATGGGATGTATGTGTCTCAAGCACTGTGCCAAATGCACGTAAGGTGAACAATTTCATGTATTCCAATATACAGGATTTAGGAACATAGTGATGCTTTTCTACCCTACCACCCCTGCTCCCACCCTCCCTCCTCTTGCCTTTCTATTTCTTTCTTTTAATTTTTTAATTTTTACAATGACATACTTTCACTTTATTTTATAATCATAAGCTTAACCTCCACTAAGAACTCAACAGATAGTAAGAAGAGAAAAACACTATTCTTCAACAGTAGAGACAAGGACTGTAAACAATAATCAGATCTCAAAATGTCGATTTTGCTCACATACATTACATTTTTTGTACACATTTTTTTAGTTACCACAGATCAGGGAAAACATATGATATTTGTCTTTTGGGGCTGACTATTTCACTAAGTATAATGGTTCCAGTTGCATCCATTTTGTTGCACAATACAGGATTCATTTTTTAGGGCTGAGTAGTACTCCATAGTGTATATATACCATAGTTCATCTTATCGTGTCAATCAGTGATGGACATCTGGGTCGACTCCATATCTTATCTATGTGAATTGAGCTGCAGTAAACATGGGGGTACAGGTAACTCTCTAATTTGCTAACTTATTTTGTTTGAGTAAATTCCTAGTTGAAATCTTAAATGTTTACTGAAACATTCTGAAATTAAAAAAAAAAGTTATTTATTCTTTTTTTTTGTTTTTACAGCAGCCAAGGTTCTGATAGTTCCGAATCGACTCTCAGAATATCTTCTCAAGTTAACTTCTCAGGTATGATCAAAAACTTTTGCTTATAACATGGATATGGTTTTTATTGTAATTAACAAATCAGGCAAAAACAAAGTTTGCAGTCACCAAACCAAAAACTATTCTGGAATTTTATTGGGCAAATTATGATATCTACTATATTGAGAATTGGGAAATATTTTTTGATTAGGCCCAGCTATGCTTTCCCTAAAAATAGCTCCTCCAGCCTTTTTTTTTTTTTTTTTTTTTCCCCCTGTATGGCTTCTGGTCCCACTCTTTGAAAGTTCATTCCTTTTCTATTATTTCCCTGGTCATTTAAACATTAGTTTTTTTGTTTGTTTGTTTTTTGTTTTTTGTTTTTTTGTTTTTTTTTTTTTTTTTTGACAGGCAGAGTGGACAGTGAGAGAGAGAGACAGAGAGAAAGGTCTTCCTTTTGCCGTTGGTTCACCCTCCAATGGCCGCCGCGGCCGGCGCGCTGCGGCCGGCGCACCGCGCTGATCCGATGGCAGGAGCCAGGAGCCAGGTGCTTTTCCTGGTCTCCCATGGGGTGCAGGGCCCAAGCACTTGGGCCATCCTCCACTGCACTCCCTGGCCACAGCAGAGGGCTGGCCTGGAAGAGGGGCAACCGGGACAGAATCCGGTGCCCCAACCGGGACTAGAACCCGGTGTGCCGGCGCCGCTAGGCGGAGGATTAGCCTAGTGAGCCGCGGCGCCGGCCTTAAACATTAGTTTTAACATTTTTAATAGGAAATATATGGATAGGCAAATGGGTCACAGGGAAACCTGCCTCCCACGAAGCTCTCCAGCTCCCGAGTCCCATTCCCGGGGGGCAGCCCTGTGATCAGTCTTTTCCCCTCAAGCCCTTCAGGGATGAGGCTCTGCAAATATAGGTACAAGTCTTGTCCCCGTTTTTTTTTAAATCAGCCCTTCATTTTGATATAATTTTAATCTACAGGAAAGTTGCAAAGGTAGTACATAGAGTTCCTGGGTATCATTTACCCAGTTTCACCAACCATTTCTCAAGAGAGCTTTGATTATATAAGGGTACTTCAAAATGTTGGTAGGAAAAATGGAATTAAAATTTAATTTTGGTGCAAAAAACGTTGAAATCCCTGCACTGATTTTCCACAGCTCATATTTTCTACAAGCTTCTTGAAGACCTCTTGTTCTTCTTTGTGGCTAAGCATCTTTCTGAGCCTGCTTCCTACCATAGAACTACCACAGTCCCTTTGAAATCAGGCTAACAATTTTTGCCACCGTGGGTCTTACAAAAACTAAGTTTTGTATGTATTTGATTCCAGACAACCTCATATGTCAAAACCACTCTCAAAATTTTTTTTTTTTTGTATATGATCAATAGATAGATAATCCATACATACAATTTATGTGATGATACTTCAGAATGTTCATGGAAAATGGATTTAAGAGTTTGTTTTGGTGCAAAAAAATTGAAATCTATGCATAGTTTTATTCATAATACACATTTTTCATGAACTTCCTGAAGACCCCTCATAGGCATGGATCTCAGGTTTTTTGCACTAAAATAAACATACCTTTTAATTCCATTTTACTATGACTATTTTTTTAACTTTTATTTAGTAAATATAAATTTCCCAAAGTACAGTTTATGGATTACAATGGCTTTTTCCCCCCCATAACTTCCCTCCCACAGGCACCCCCCATCTCCCGCTCCCTCTCCCATTCATTCCCATGAAGATTCATTTTCAATTATCTTATACACAGAAGTCAATTAGTATCTATTAAGTAAAGATTTCATCATTTGCACTCACACCGACACATAAAGTGTAAAATACTGTTTGAGTACTAGTTATAGCATTAATTTCACATCGGACAACACATTAAGGACAGAGATCCTACATGAGGAGTAAGTACACAGTGACTCTGTTGTTGACTTAACAATTTGACACTCTTATTTATGCGTCAGTAATCTCCCTAGGCTCTAGTCATGAGTTGCCAAGGCTATGGAAGCCTTTTGAGTTCGCCAACTTCGATCTTATTTAGACAAGGTCATAGTCAAAGTGGAAGTTCTCTCCTCCCTTCAGAGAAAGGTACCTCCTTCTTTGATGGCCTGTTCTTTCTACTGCGATCTCACTCACAGAGATCTTTCATTTAGGTTTGGTTTTTTTTTGTTTTTTGTTGTTTTTTTTTTTCCAGAGTGTCTTGACTTTCCCTGCCTAAAATACTCTCACAGGCTCTTCAAGCCAGTTCCGAATGCCTTAAGGGCTGATTCTGAGGCCAGAGTGCTATTTAGGACATCTGCCATTCTAGGAGTCTGCTGTGTATCCCTCTTCCCATGTTGGATTGTTCTCTCCCTTTTTGATTCTATCAGTTAGTATTACAGACACTAGTCTTGTTTGTGTGATCCCTTTGACTCTTAGACCTATCAGTATGATCAATTGTGAACTGAAATTGATCACTTGGACTAGTGAGATGGCATTGGTACATGCCACCTTGATGGGATTGTATTGGAATCCCCTGGCACTATTTCTAACTCCACCATCTGGGGAAAGTCAGCTTGAGCATGTCCCAAATTGTACATCTCCTCCCTCTCTTATTCCCACTCTTATATTTAACAGGGATCACTTTTCAGTTAAATTTAAACACCTAAGAATAATTGTGTTGCTAATTACAGAGTTCAACCAATAGTATTAACTAGAACAAAAAAAAATACTAAAAGGGATAAAGTATTAAATTGTACATCAACAGTCAGGACAAGACTAGTTTGAGCTGTCTTCATACATACTTTGATGAGACCACATTTCTAAGAGCCCCAGGTTTAACAAAGGAGGTGTGTCAATTTTCTGTTATTGAGTACCTCCAGACTTAGGCAGCTTGAGCCACGTTTAGCAGCACGTAGTGTCTGTGAGTCATGAATCCAGGAGTGGCTTAGCTGCGTATTTCTGGCTGAGGCTCTCATAAGGCTGTCATGAAAGTGCTGGCCAGGCCAGGGTCTCATCTGAAGGCTTGGCTGAGGGCAGATATCCTTGCAGAACTCTCACTAGGTTGTTTACAGAATTCACTTCCTCAAAGGCTTCCAGTTCCTTCTGGCCCTAGACCAAAGATCTTCAGTTTCTTGCAATGTGGGCTTTCTCCTAAATTAGCCTATGACATAGCGCCTGGTTGCCATCAGCGTGAATAAGTGAGAGCTAAAAAGGCTGCATGGGATGGAAGCCGCAGGCAATTTGTTACTTAACCTTAGGGGCAGAGTTCCATCCCCTTTGCCATATTCCATTCATTCAAAGTGAATCAGTAGGTTCAGCCCGTAGTCAAGAGGATTAACAAGGGCACGAATACAAGGAGAAGAGAGAGCATTCTAGGCCACCCTAGAGATGCAGAAGTCATAAACACAGATGTAAAAGTCATAACCTTGATTTTGACCCCTGTCTTACAGGTATTAGAAGTTTGACCTGTTTTTTCCCCTCAGTTCTTTCATTCAATTCTTTTTGAAGTTCATTTCTTCTAGTATCTTCCAATGGAACCTGCAATAACCAGTTCATACTCGATAAACATTCTACCTCAAAATCTTTTCTGTTCAGTGACTCTAAGGTGTTGGATGTTTCCTGTCTTTAAAACGATACTAGAGACAGTTTTACTAAGTGTACCACCTTTACATAAATTCATGTCACCATTTTCCACTTATTTTTAATTGACAAGTAAAAGTCATATATACTATACAATTTTTATAATGCATATGCATTGTGGAATGTCAATATTGTGCTAATTAGTATATGCATTACTTCACATACTTAAAATTTTTAGTGGGAAGAACACTTACAATCTGTTCAGCAATTTTCAAGAACATCATTCATTTTTAGTAACTGTAGTCACTATGTTGTACAATAGATCAATTGAGTTTATGCCTCCTATCTTATTGAAATTTCATATGGTTTGACCAAGAGCTCTCCAACCACACCCCACCTCTCAGGCCCTGAAACCACCGTTGCACCACTCTATTCTCTGCTTTGTAAGTTTGACTTTTTTTTTCCTAGTCTGCATATAAGTGAGATCATGTAGTATTTGTATTTCTGTGCCTGGCTTCTTTCACTTAATACAATGTCTTCTGACTTCATTTGTCACAAAGGAAAAAATTTCCTTCTTTTTTAAGACTGAATAACATTCCATAGCTCATGTTTTCTTTATCCACTGGTCTGTGGATGGACATTTAAGTTGATTTTATATCTTGGCAGCTGTGAATGATGCTGCAATGAACAGGGAAGCCCAGATATCTCTTTGACATGCTGATTTCATTTCCTTTGATTATATACCCAGTAGTGGGATTACTAGAGCGTATGATAATTTTGTGTTTAATATTTTCATGAGTCTCTGTACTGTTTTACATTATAACTTACTAATTTACATTCCCACCATCAGCAGAAGGGTTCTCTTTCCCTACCTCCTCTTCAACACTTCTCTTTCATCTTTTTGATAAGTCTTTCTAACAGGTATGAGCTGATATATACTTGTGGCTTTAATTTGCATTTTTTGATGATTAGTGATGTTGAATATTTTTCAAAGATTTGTGGTCTGTTTTTATGTATTCTACTGAAAAAAATCTATTCACATCCTATGTTAATTTTTTTCATTTATTGAAAGGCAGAGACAGAGAGAGATCTTCTGTCTGTAGTTCACTCTCCAAATACCCACATCAGCCAAGGCTGAGCTAGGCCACAGCTAGAGACTGGAACACAGTCTGGGTCTCCCATATGGGTGGCAGTGACCCAAGTATTTGACCTGTCACCTGCAGCATCCCAGGGCATGCATTAGCAGGAAGTGGTTTAGAAGCAGAGGTGCAGCTTAACCCCAGGCTCTCTCATATAGGATGCAGGTTTCCCAAGCAGAATCTAACTAAGCATTGTGCCACACACCTACCTCTGTTTCATTACTAGTGAGTTCCTGATGCATTTTGGATATTAAACCCTTCTGGTTTGAAAAAATTCCACCCTTTCCATAGGTTCTCTCTTCTCTTTGTTGATTATTTCCTTGGCTGTGGCAGAAGTTTTTTATTTGATATAATTCCATTTCTCTGTTCTGGCTTTTGCTGCCTATGCTTTTGGGTTCATAAAAAAAATTAAAAAACACATCGCCCCAGAACAAGTCATGGAGTTTTTCCCCCACATTTGCTTCTAGTGGTTTTGTAGTTCCAGGTTTTATGATTCATCAATTTTAAGTTGATTTTTATATATGGTATAAGGTTTTTGTTTTGTTTTGTTTTTGGACAGGCAGAGTGGACAGTGAGAGAGAGAGACAGAGAGAAAGGTCTTCCTTTGCCATTGGTTCACCCTCCAATGGCCGCCGCGGCCGGCACACCGCACTGATCCGATGGCAGGAGCCAGGTGCTTCTCCTGGTCTCCCATGGGGTGCAGGGCCCAAGCACTTGGGCCATCCTCCACTGCCTTCCTCGGCCACAGCAGAGAGCTGACCTGGAAGAGGGGCAACCGGGACAGAATCCGGTGCCCCGACCGGGACTAGAACCTGGTGTGCCGGCGCCGCAAGGCGGAGGATTAGCCTAGTGAGCCGCAGCACCGGCCTGGTATAAGGTTTTATACTTTATGCTTTTGCCTCTGGATTTCTAGATGTCAGAGTACAGCCTATTGAAGAGACTGTCCACACATCACGTGTTCCTAGTGCTGCTGAGCCACAGTGCCCACCCAGCACCTTTGTTGACCACGAATGTGTGGATTTGTTTCTGGGTACTCTGTCCTATTCCATTGATCCCCATGTCCGGTTTTATGCTAGCACCATACCGTTTTAATCACTATAGCTTTGTCTATAATTTGAAGTAAAGTAGTGTGATGCTTCCAGTTTTGTTCATTTTGCTTGATTGTTTGATCTATTCAGGCAGTTCCATGAGAATTTGAGGACTGTTCTTCTGTTTCTGTAAAAAATGCAATTGGGATTTTGATAGCGATTACATTGAATATGTATATTGTGTTGGGTAGCGTGGACATTTTAACATTAATTCTTCTGATCCATGAACAAAATATCTTGTGCCATTTATTATTTTTTCTTCCATTTTTTTTCAATAATGTTTTATGGCTTTCAGTGTACATGTCTTTCACTTCCTTAGCTAAATATATGCCTAAGTGTTCGGGAGTGGAGGTTTGGTTTTTCCGTTTTTTGTTTTTTTGTTTTTTGTTTTTGTTTTTGTTTTTGTTTTTGTTTTTTTTTTTTGTAGCTATTATCAATGGGATTTTTTTCTTGATTCCTTTTTCAGATAGTCCATTGTTAGTGTATAGAAATACTGCTGATTTTTGTATGCTGATTTTGTGTTCTGCAGCTTTAATGAATTCATTCATAATTCCAACCATTTTATATAGAGTCTGTAGGGTTCTATATACCAGGCGGATTAAAAATTCTACAGAAGGTACTGGTGTTGTGGTGTAGCAGGTTAAGCCATCACCTGTGACACCGGCAATCCCACATGGCACCAGTTCAAGTCCTGGCTGCTCTGCTTCCAGTCCCATTCCTTGCTAATGTGCCTGGGAAAGCAGCTTAGGATGGCCCACATACTTGGGCCACTGCACCCACGTGGGAGGCCTAGATAGAGTTTCAAGATCCTGGCTTCCGCCTGGTCCAGCCCTGGTTATTGCAGCCATTGGGGAGTGACCCAGCAGATGGAAGATTTTTCTCTCTCTGTCTCTCCTTCTCTGTCTGTAACTCTGCCTTTCAAATAAATAAATCTTTTTAAAAATGCTATGGAAAGTGCATTATCATTTTAAAATTTTAATCTGGTTATTTTTATTTATTTGAAAGGGAGGCAAAGCAAGCGAGCTAGATTCAGAGATCTTCCATCTGCTGGTTCATTCTTCAGATGCCTGTAACAGCTTGGGTTAGGCCATGGCAAAGGCAGGAGCCAAGAACTCAAGCATGATCTTCCATGTGGTGGCAGAAACACAGCTGCCAAGCCATCACCTGCTGCCCCGCAGGGCACATTGGCAGGGAACTAGAATCAGGAGTGGAGCTGGGACTTGAGTTCAGGCACTCAGATATGGGATGAGGGCATCCCAAGTGACATCTAGTGCCGTATCCTATGTTCTCCCTGCACTATCTTTTAGCTCTGTTTTTACACGAACTCTCTGAAGTACCCTCTTATAAAATCATGTTGTCTGCAAACAGGGGCAGTTTAACTTCATCCTTTCCAGTTTAGATATCTTTTAATTCCTTTTCATGCCTAATTGCCCTTGCAAGAACTTCCAGTACTGTGTTCATCAGAAATGGAAGAATGGGCATCCTCGCCTTTTTCCTTAGAGGGAAGGCTTTCAGTTTTTTACCTTTAACTATGCTGATGGCTGTGAGACTTTCATTTATGGCATTTATTATGTTCAGTTAGTTTCTTCTCCTATTTGTGGAGAATTTTTATTATGAAAGGATGTTGAATTTTGTCACCTGCTGTTTATGTATCTATTGAGATGGTCATGTGATTGTTGCCCTTCATCCTGTTAATGTGGAGTATCACATTTATAGATTTACGTATATTGAGCCATCCTTGCCTTATTGGGATAAATGCCACTTGATCATAGTAAATGATTATTATTTAATGTGCTGTCGAATTCTGGTTTGCTAGTATTTTGTTGTATTTCTCCATGTATATTGAACAGGGATATTGGCCTGCAGTTTTTCCTTCTTACGCTGTCCTTGCCGGGATTTGGTATGAGTGTATTTCTGGTCTCATGAAATGATTTGGGAAGTATTCTCCCTTTTTTAGTTTTTTGGAAGAATTTGAGAAGAATGATACTAATTCTTTTAATGTTTAGTAGAATTCAGCAATGAAGTCATTAGGTCCTGGTTTTTGTTTCGATCTTACTTTTTGTTGGTCTGTTTTGATTTTCTCTTTCTTCAAAATTCAATCTTGGTAGGAGGTTTGTATCTAGAACTTTGCACACTTCTCCTATATTATCCAGTTTGTTGGCATATAATTATTCTTAGTAGTCCATATGATCTTTGTGTTTACTTGGTATCCATTATAATGTCTCCTCTTTTATTTATGGTTATATCTATTTAATCATCTCTTTTTTTTCCCTTAGACTAGGAAAGGTTTGTAGATTTTGTTAATCTTTTCAAAACACCCTCTCCTCGTTTCACTGATCTTTTCTATTGTTTCTCTAGTCTCTAGTTCACTTATTTCTGCTCCTCTATTTATTATTTATTATTTTCTTCCTTCTGTTATCTTTTGGTTCGTTTGTTGTTTTCTTAATTTCTTGAGGTGTAACATTAGGTGGTACATTCAAATCTCCCTTTTGATGTAGGTGTCTATTGCTATAAGCATCCCTCTTAGGACTGCTTCATTCCATATAAGTTTTGTTATGTTGTATTTCCATTTTTGTTTTGGAATATTTTAAGTATCTCTTTTTAAATTTCCTATTGACTCATTGTTTGTTCAGGAGCTTGTTGTTTGATTTCCATATATTTATGAATGTGTTACTGTTTATTCTATATTATCCAGTCACAAAGCCAATGACTGTCACATAGTATGTTTTTATTAGGACAGTGTCCCGCTTCTAGGTATCAATTTTTGTGATGTAAATATTGTACTACATAAAAATTTTCTTAGTATCTCAGCAAACTTTTATTTTATTGTTACCGTTCCTAGATCTGCAGGCCAGCTGGCCATAGCTCCAGATTGTGAATTGGGTTTAGATCTATTCCACCTTTCTTCCTTGCCCCAGACCAGTCGCTGGCTAAGGCATGTTCTGCTCATGGATGATGACAGGAGTTCAACTAGGAAGGCCACACCATGCAAATATGGTTAGAGCCTCTGTTCAATGTTCCACTGGCCCGATGAAGTCATATTTCCAATCTAACATGAATGGAGTGGGACAGCATAATTCTGCACTAGTTGGGGAGTAGAATTTAGAAGCAATCCAGGGATATATTTTCTAAAGTTAGTAGAACTAAAAATGCAAAGGCCCTGAGGAAGGAAAATGTTTCTCATTTTCTAGGATGACCAAGGCGTGTAAGCCTGAACAAAGAGATTGGTGATAGAGTTGAAACCCCATAGGTATCTGTCAGGAGTGGAGAGAACAGATCATGTAAAGTCCTGTAGGCTCAGACCTCCATTTTTGCTCTGAGTTTGGAGAATTCTGAGCAGGGGAGTGAGATGATCTGCTTTATGTATTAGCAGGATCACTTTGGCTTTTGAGTTGAGAGTAGAATGACAGAATACAAGAGAGACCAGTTAGAGGCTCTTAGAATAATCCAGGCAAGATAAAGTGGTGGCTGAACAAAGGTGATACTAGTAGAGGGACTAAGAAATAGGTTTTGTACGTATTTTAAAGTTAGAGATAACAGAGTTTGCTGATGATGTGTGTGCAGTGTTGAGAAACTGAAGGAAGAGAACTTTGGTTCTGAACAACTAGTTATGAGCAGTTCTGCTTACTGATGTGGGAACCATGGCATAATAGTCCATGTCCAGAGCCAGTCTGCCTCTTGTTTCCACCCTTTAGAGCATCTTAGGTTTGCCTGTTATGCATTATCTAGAGGTTTCAGCCGTGCTTAGAGGAATAGGGAGGTACTTCCCCAGCTTCTTCAGACTGTGAATCTCAAGAAAGTTTTGTCTGCATGCATATTGTCTTGTATTTATGGATTGAACACTGATGTTAAGTGATTCTTTTCCTAGGTAAAAAATAAGAAAAAGTATCTGAAAGCAAAGAAGGAGAGGAATTCTATTCAAGCAAGCCACCACAATGCCAAAGAAGAGGTAAATCTTAGTTAATCTGGTAATGGTTTCTGAAAAAAATTAATGCAAGAGAATGGCAAATTATTTTCTCTTAAACTTCTTATACCCTAATTAAAATATTGTTCGTACTGTTTACTATTATTAAAAATACAGGGGCCGGCACTGTGGCCTGGAAAGTTAAGCCTCTGCCTGCAGCTTTGACATCCTATGTGGGCACCAGTTCAAGTCCCAGCTGCTCCACTTCCAATCCAGCTCTCTGCTAATGCACCTGGGAAGACAGCAGAGGATGGCCCAAGTCCTTGGGCCCCTGCACCCATGTGGGAGACCTGGATGAAGCTCCTGGCTCCTGGTTCCTGGCTTTAGCCTGGCCCAGCCCTGGCTGTTGCAGCCATTTGGGAAATGAACCATTGAATGAAAGATAGAGATTCTCTCTCCCTCTTTCCCTCTCTCCCTCTCTCCCTCTCCCTCTGGCTCCCTCTCTCTCTCTCTTTCTTTCCCCTTCCTCCTTCTCTCTCTCTATTTCTTCCTTTCAAATAAATAAATAAATCTTTAAAAACAAGAAATCCATGACAGATGAGAAGTAGCTCTTTGTGAGGTGCCATATTTTATTAAATTTTAAATTTACCTTACTCAGAATATTTGAGGAAGTTATAAAGTTGCATTCAGGGTAGCAAAAAAGAAAGAAATTAAAACGAAGAAAAACAAAATGAGAATATAACAGCATAAAAACAAATGGTTGGCCGGCGCCGTGGCTCAATAGGCTAATCCTCCGCCTTGCGGCGCCGGCACACCAGGTTCTAGTTCCGGTCGGGGCTCCGGATTCTGTCCCGGTTGCCCCTCTTCCAGTCCAGCTCTCTGCTGTGGCCAGGGAGTGCAGTGGAGGATGGCCCAAGTGCTTGGGCCCTGCACCTACATGGGAGACCAGGAGCAGCACCTGGCTCCTGCCTTCGGATCAGCGCAGTGCGCCGGCCACAGCGGCCACTGGAGGGTGAACCAAAGGCAAAGGAAGACCTTTCTCTCTGTCTCTTTCTCTCACTGTCCACTCTGCCTGTCAAAAAAAAAAAAATGGTACTGTAGGATGGACTTGTACCAGACAGCATGAGGAGCTCTGCAAACCCGCTCACCAGCAAAACTGCTGAAGATTGTTGGAGAAAAATGACGGGCATTCAGCGCAGTGGTTAAGACACCACTTGGGACGCAGGCAGTACATACCACGTGCCTGGAATAAAGTCTCAGCTCTGATTCTGACTCTAGCTTCCTGCTAACATACACTTTGGAGGGCAGTGGGTGATAGCTCAAGTCCTGGGATCTTTGCTACCCACGGGGGAGACCTGGATTGATCTCCAGACTCCTGGCTTCAGGCTGGTCTGGCCCTGGCTATTGTAGGCCTTTGGGGGACTGAACCAGTGGATGGAAATCTCTCTGTGTCTCTCTCTGCCTTTCAAATATAAAAAATAATGTTTTTAATTATTTAAGAAAAAATTTAAACTCTCCTGAAATGATCATAAGAGCGTACAGTAAAGCAAAAAATCTGTTCAAGAAAATCTATCAAGCTTCATTAAAAATAGCAAAAGCTTATGGCATTTCAATCCAGATGGGTGCTTTCCTTTCCACTTTGTGCTCAGTGAGGCAGAAATTCCATTCCAGACTAGGACAGACTAGGAAACACTGTGTATCCTCTACACAGCTGTCTTCCTGGGAGGACCGGACAGGGGTAACTCTCCCCCTGCTTCCAGCTCCTGTCCATGCTGGGTTCCAGGTGAGTGCAGAGAAGGAGTGGCAGTCTTCCATGCAGGCCCGCCCGTGCAGTGCAGACTCTGCTGTGAGTACCACAGCACCTAGAATAATCAGGCCTGGTTGCCCTTGCTTCTCCTTATAGAATGGAGTCAAAGGCACATTGAAGAGATGCAAGGTCACTGCCTTCCCTACAGCTCAGAACTGGACAAGTACCCAGTGTACCCCAGGATCAGCAGTTAGAATATGAAAAGGAAAGGAAGATACATTCGTCGTGGTTAGAGCCATGAACAAGACACGAAACTCTCTCCTCATGCCAGCCCTGACAGCCACCCCTGCTCCCTAGCCCCACACATTCAACCCCTGGTGACCACTAGTCTGTTCTCCATGACAGAGTGTTACCTCTGTTATTTCAGGAATATTATAGGAATAGGATTCAAAACATATTTTTCTGGGAACGATTTTATTTAGTTTTTATTGTAAAACGCATTTATTTAGTTCTCCTACATTCACATAGTGGTTCTCTCATTTATCCAAGCTATATTTAATGTAAAGTATTATGTTTCTTAAAAGATATATTTTCATCTTTCTGTATTGAATCTTTAAAGTTGTTATGAAATCTTAATCTATATTTAATTTTGGATATTTTCAAATGGAAAATAATCTTCATGTACTTATGCTCTTCATTGCTCTAAACTTCTGTGTAAGCTTCCAGAAAATGTTTTTCATTTTTTGTATATAGTTTTATAATCCATTTATAGATTTTCTATAATTTTATATATTTTACTCATTTCACACTCTTATATTCCTGTATTCTTCTAACTTAAATAAAGGAGATTATAAACATACTTTTTTTGGCTCTTTCTTAAAGTAAATAAATTCTGTGTGAAGTGGAAAATGTTCAAATTCCCTGTAGTGCCAAAAACAGAATATCAAAATTTTCTTATATTCATTGATGCAAGAGAAAAGTGCTGTGAAAGATATTTAAAGTTCTAATTTATGATATATTTTCCCCATTCTAAGTGTATAAAAAGAAAATGAGAAACTTTTTTGAAAAAACTCACTATATCATAAATCATATACAAAATATACCTCATTTTCATGTTTATAACATTGTATTATTTTCTTTCTGACTCTGTGTTCCATTTCATTAGGTAAACGATGGAGAACATTTATTGAAAACACAGAAAGAATCAAATTCTGATGTGAAAGGTAACATTCTACTTCTTTCTCAGACTAATTCTCTTACTCAAAGCCCCACAGTTTTAAGATTGCCACTGTGCTTAGAGCCAAGGATATTAAGAAGAATATGGTACCAGTTCTTCCCTGTAGGAGCTCATCTTTTAATCCAGAAAGAAAAGCAGGTGCAAGCCAAAAAGAGAAGTTAAATTGTAGACTGTTCTTTTACTTCTACTGCAACATGCTGAGCCTACCATGAACCTTTAACTGATTCTCTAGCATTTCTGATTTTTTCTTTTTTTTCTTTTAATTTATTTATTTGCAAGGTAGATTTATAGAGACAGGGAGAGACAGAGAGAAAGGTCTTCCACCGCTGGTTCACGCCCCAGGTAGCTGCAAGGGCTGGAGCTGAGCCAATCTGAAGCCAGGAGCCAGGAGCTTCTTCCGGGTCTCCCATATGGGTGCATGGGCCCAAGGACTTGGGCCATCTTCTACTGCTTTCCCAGGCCATAGCAGAGAGCTGGATCTGAAGAGGAGCAACCAGTTCTCAAAATGCCTCCACAGGCAGAAGCTTAGCCCATTATGCCACAGTGCCTGCCCCTAATTTTTTTTTCTTAGCTTCTATCACTTTATGTTCAATTGAGGTCCTTTGGGAAAAAAAAGCATTGTTGTAAGCAATATTTTAACTATTTAAAAATATTTAATGTTATATGTTTATTGATTTATTATACATTTATACCATACTTGCTTTCCAAAGGGATGTGAGGTAGCCTAACTTTAAAACTACATATGTGTATATCCATTTAGCCTATGATTTAAACAACTAATTAAAAATAGAAATGAAGGCCTGGCGTTGTGGCATAGCAGACAAAGCTGCTGCCTGGGATGCCGCCATCCCATATCGGCTCTGGTTTGAGTCCCAGCCACTCCACTTCATCCAGCTCCCTGCTAATGCACCTGGGAAAGCAGTGGAAGATGGCCCAAGTACTCAGGCCCTTGCACCCTACACGGGAGACCTGGAAGAAGCCGCTGGCTCCTGCCTCCTGGCTTTTGTCTGGTCCAACCCTGGCTGTTGCAGCCATTTGAGGAGTGAACCAGCAGATGGAAGCTTGCTCTCAGATCTGTCTGTCTCTGTGGAGCAGCCGGAACTCAAACCAGCGCCCAAAGGGATGCTGGCACTGCAGGCGGTGGCCACAGCACCAGCCCCCATACACATTTTATATGTAACTTTTATATATGCTTTTGCTAAAATTTAATGTGAAAAGTTAGAAATAAAAATAAGCAAAACAAAGTAAAGATCATGTTTTAGAATATTTACTTTAGAACTTTTTCTATAGCTATATAAATATACTCTGTTGAATCACATAATCATGTCATTTTATAACTTTATTTAAAATAATAATGTGTTATAAACCTCTTCATGTTGAATGAATGGCAGCAAAGGACTGCATTCTACTCATGAACCTTAATTTATTTAGCTTCCTCTGTTGATAAACTTTTATTTCATTTCTATTTTCCAAAGAAAATGACAGTAAAATACTTATAGCTTTCTATTTGTGTATATTCTTGATTATATCTTTTTAGTAAATTCCTAGAACGGGAATTGCTGGCCCAGAGGTATGAACAGAACTTCACAAGATCTGAAGACTATTTATATTCATTTCATTATGAGTTAATTGCTAGGATTCTTCATTTTGAAAAAAATGATGTAAAATATGAAGTGTAAATGAGTCATTGAACTGTTTTCTGCCACTATGTTCCTGTATCATTTTCTCTAGATACAAAGCCAGATGCACCAGATAACTATATGGTTGGTTATTTAAGAAGACCATTGCCGAATCAAGGTTTAGGTGAGTAACCCAGGAACATAGCAGTGAGTGGTCACCAGTCATCTGAATTTGAGAAACGCAATCATTTGAACTGGGTCAAGATCTACACATAAGAAACTAAGAGGATATCGTAAAGTCAGATAGCCAAGGAACAATTCACATTCCCAAATTCTGAAACCCAAACTTTTCTTTTTCTCTCTAGCTGTATATGAACATATTGGAAAATAGTAGAAATGCATTGTATGTCAACTTATTATAATTTTACCCAGTGGGAAAAAATGTTAATTTCATTGACTAATTTTTCATTTGCATCTCACTAAACTTTTGAGTAGAGATAAAGGTCAAAGAGTACTCTAGTCTTACTTTCTAGTCATTATAGGATCCAAGGTCATCCAACCTTCTACTACACTTGGTGACAAGTAGTTCACTAAATTGCAATACTATTCATTCCATTGCTAGAGGCCTACAGTACTGAAAAAGTTATTTTTTGAGTTAAAAACATGCAATCTTGTAAATTTCACCAACTTCCCTTAATCTGTCCTCTCTAATTACACAAAACAGGGAAGGGAACTTAAATAAATCTGACTCATTTTCCCCTAATTCACCTTGAAATAATGAGAATAATTTTAGTATTTCCTCTACTTCATAGTTCTTAAATTTTTTTTTTAAAGATTTTACTTATTTATTTGACAGGTAGAATTACAAACAGTGAGAGAAAGAGAGAAAGGTCTTCCTTCTGTTAGTTCACTCTCCAGATGGCCACAGCAGCCGGAACTGGGCTGATCTGAAGCCAGGAGCCAAGAGCTTCTTCCAGGTCTCCCACGCGGGTGCAGGGGCCCAAGCACTTGGGCCGTCCTCCACTGCTTTCCAAGGCCATAGCAGAGAGCTGGACTGGAAGAGGAGCAATCGGAACTAGAACTGGCGCCCATATGGGATGCTGGTGCAGCAGGCGGAGGATTAACCTAGTGCGCCACGGCACCGGCCCCAGATCTTACATATTTTTTAAAGAATTTATTTATTTATTTGAAAGAGATACAGAGAGCAGAGGCAGAGAGAGAGAGAGAGAGAGAGAGAGAGAGAGGTCTTCCATCCACTGGTTTACTCCCCAAATGGCTTCAACAATGGCATGAGCTGGGCCAATCCAGAGCCAGGAGCCAGGAGCTTCCTCTGGGTCTTTCACGTGGGTGCAAGGGTCCAAGGACTTGGGCCATCTTCCACTCTTTTCCCAGGCCATAGTAGAGAGCTGGATCAGAAGAGGAGCAGCTGGGGTTGAACCAGTGCCCATATGGGATGCCGGCACCACAGGCAGAGGCTTAGCCCACTATGGCACATCACCAGCCCCCATCTTAAGTATTTTTTTAAAAAGGCTGTCACATGGGACCAACATTGTGGTGCAGTGGGTTAAACCTGCAATACTGGCATCCCATATGGGTGCCAGTTCAAATCCTGGCTGCTCCACTTTCAATCCAGCTCCCTGCTACTGCACTTAGGAAGGTACCTGGGCCCCTGCCACCCCACATGGGAGACCCAGATGGAGTTCCAGGCTTCAGCCTGGCCCGGTCTCAGCTATTGTGGCCATTTGGGGAGTGATTCAGATGGAAGATCTCTGTGTCTCCCTCTCTCACTGTAACTCTGCATTTCAAATTAAGGCTAATCCTATGCCTGCGGTGCCAGCACACTGGGTTCTAGTCCCGGTCGGGGCACCGGATTCTGTCCCGGTTGCCCCTCTTCCAGGCCAGCTCTCTGCTGTGGCCTGGGAGTGCAGTGGAGGATGGCCCAAGTGCTTGGGCCCTGCACCCCATGGGAGACCAGGAGAAGCACCTGGCTCCTGCCTTCGGATCAGCGCGGTGCGCCGGCTGCGGCGGCCATTGGAGGGTGAACCAACGGCAAAAAGGAAGACCTTTCTCTCTCTCTCTCTCTCTCTCACTGTCTACTCTGCCTGTCAATAATAATAATAATAATAATAATAATTAAAGAAAAAATAAGGGCATCACTTATTCCTTGAAAATTTCCTTCCATTTCTACAACCATCTGTATCATATCATTATTCAAGTATCATACTATGTATCTCTCTTCTATCACTATTCAAGCTTGAGTGAAACTGAAAACAGTATTACAGATACTGTCTAATCAGTACACAATAAATTTGCAGTCCAGTTTGCTTTCTATGTACTAGATTTTCATTAATAGAGCCCAAGATTGTATTTTGTTCTTTTGAAAATTGTCTTAAACTGTTAACATGTTTCTACATATTCATTGTTTTATTTTTGTTAGTTGCTATGGTTTCTCCTCCATTCTCTCTTTCTTCAGTTAATATTTTGGTTCCGTGTGTTGGACCTTCAATTTATTCCATTTAATTTAATTTAATTTTATCAGCTTATTCTTTCTTTGTTGTTTCCAGTGGAAGCATTTTTAAAGACTTTGAGCCAGCTATCTTAAAGAATATCTGCTTTTTAAATGTTAGTGGTATAGGGTGAAAGTACCTCTTTTTTCCCACTGGAGGTGTTATAATTGAGTCTGCTGAAATACACTGACACTAGATCAATAGGAGAAGAAGCTTACAAATGTATTATGTGTATGAGGGTATCACAGGAAAGTAGTACCCCATGACCCAGTGGAGCTTAGAATCATGTATACCTTCTTTCACAGGGAAGAGAGGGTGTAGGCGATTCTAGAGGAAATGATGTGTAGGGGAGCTCTATGGACCTGAGGAACAGATAGTGGCCTAGGATAAATTTCATCTGGGCTCTGGGCACGTGACAGTGCTTGTCTTCCTGCAGTATGCACCTATGTAGAAAGCTGAGTTGACAGTAAATACACATGTTCATTTTTGTTTCATTGATCTGTATGTCAACACTCAGAAAGAGAGGTTTACCTTATGGTGATATTCAGTGTGCTTTAGTCTCTGAAAGCAATGAGCATTTAGTTATGGAGACCACATCATGCATCTGAAGATGCAAAGGGCCTGGTTGACGAGCAACTAGTCTACCAAAAAAAGTCTGCATTGGATGGACATCTTGGAAGAGCTGGAAGATAGTCCCTGCAAATCCAAACATCAACTGCTGTTGACAAGGAAGTGCCAAGTGTTTCCTGCTCCGAGTATCAACTGCTGTTGACAAGGATGTACCAAGTGTTCCCTGCTCAAAACATTTTTGTTGACAGGATATTTGACTTGATGCCATAGCAGTGACCAGAACCAGGACTTGTATAACGTGGGCTTTATCAGAGATCTAAATGTCAAAAGGAATTTGACATTTGAGTGTATCCTGTTTTACATAAGAGAAAGACAACCTAAAGGCTGCAAGTAGTCAAGAGAAGTGTTATTGGGACAGGAAGAACAGCAAAAATATCCATCCTACTTTATCATAGGACAGAAAAAAACATTTCATTTTATATATATATATATATACACACACACACACACACACACACAATAATGTAGCCTGTACAATTTAAATATCCATTACAGAAGCATATCATCAGAGGAGAGATAGAAGAATTAAACATATATTTTATACACATCTGTTTAGTTTGTTCTACTTTTTTTGAAAAATTTTTTTAAGATTTATTTATTTATTTGAAAGAGTTATAGAGAAGAGGTGAGGGGAGAGAGAAGAGAGAGAGAGGAGGGAGAGGAGAGAGAGAGAGGAGAGTCTTCCATCCTCAGGTTCACTCTCCAAATGGCTGCAACAGCCAGAGCTGAGCTGATATGAAGCCAGGAGCCAGGAGCTTCTTCCGGGTCTCCCATGAGGGTGCAGGGCCCAAGGGCTTAGGCCATCATCTACTGCTTTCCCACGCCATAGCAGAGAGCTGGATAGGAAATGGAGCACCCAGGACCCAATCCAGTGCCCAGGTGGGATGCTGGCTCATCACCAGTCCCAATTTGTTCTACTCTTAATTATTACTAATGGCCACTGTTAGCTGGTCCAATGGTTGTCTTGCTTTAACAGTAGCATATATGTAATAAGAAAGCAAATAATACAGAATATATAGCTTTAAATACCTATTTGTATATTTTGTGTTAAAATAATAATATTTGTTACATGTTACACTTTTTTTAAAAAACTCTGGTTTATCTGTGGCCTAGATTGTTGCTCTAAAGAAGATGGTCACCACAGGGTAAATGTAGATATCCATATATTCACTTCTGAATTGTTTGATAATTATTAGATATTTCTACTGTTTGCTGTTCTCTTGAAACCATTTAATTAAAAGGAGTCCAGGGAAATATACACTCCTATATTCATATTTCATGTGTCTGAATGACACAAAAGTTAAGTAAAAATAGGCTCAATTAAGCTGCCACTATATATATAAATGAAGTCATTATCAAGAAAGTAAAAAATAAAGTTTCATTGAACCTGGAAACCTAATTTCTTATATTTTATTGCAAATTTTCTTTTTCAGTAAAAATACCTGGACAAGAATCTTCTTGGCTTCTAAAAAAATATTTAAGGTAGGAGAAGTTGATTTATTCAACCTGACAACTCCTTTTCCTCTGTCTTACAAGGTTTTAGTCTTCGTTTAAAGCAAAAGTGACTTTATAGTAACCATTGCTACCAGGTGTCTCCTTATTATCTACAAAGTGTCTGCAGCTTGGTCAGTGTACGCTCAAAGTGCCCACAAAGGGCAGGCATTTGCTGCAGCAGTTAAGAAGTCACCTGGGAGGCCGGCGCTGCGGCTCAATAGGCTAATCCTCCGCCTGCGGCGCCAGCACACCGGGTTCTAGTCCCGGTCGGGGCGCCGGATTCTGTCCCGGTTGCTCCTCTTCCAGGCCAGCTCTCTGCTGTGGCCCAGGAATGCAGTGGAGGATGGCCCAAGTGCTTGGGCCCTGCACCCGCATGGCAGACCAGGAGGAGGCTCCTGGCTCCTGGCTTCAGATCGGCGCAGTGCCGGCCCTAGTGGCCATTTGGGGAGTGAAGCAGCAGAGGGAAGACCTTTCTCTCTGTCTCTCTCTCTCTCACTGTCCACTCTACCTGTCAAAAAAAAAAAAAAAAAGTCACCTGGGACGCCTACGTCCCATATCATAGTAGTGAACTCAAGTGCTGACTGTGCTTCCAGTTCCAGCTTCCTGCTGATGCACACCCAGGAGGCAGCAGTGACGCCTCAGACACTTGGGTTCCTGGCACCCATGTGAGAGACCCAGAATGAGTTCCCGGTTCCTAGCTTTAGTCTGGCCCAGCCCCAGCTGTTTCCGGCATTTGGGGAGTGAACAAGCAGATAGGAGATTCTCCTCTCTCCCTCCCTCCCTCCCTCCCCTCCTCCCCTTTCTCTGTATTCATCCCATTCATCCCCTCTCTGTCTCTCTGTCTTTCAAATAAATAAAAGAAAATAAGCAAAAATAAAACAAGTGCCCATAAGATATATTTTATGGGTTCTGTGCTTTCAGTATCCGCAAAGGATGCCTTAAAATCTGTAGTTACAGTCATTTCTATGCAATTATCATCATATTGTCTGCATTTCTCTTCTTAAAAAGAAATAGCATATGATAATTATTTAGTGCTTTAGAATTAATGATGCTCAAAGATTTTACTGTCTGCAGTAGCAGTTAGAGCATTGGTCGCTTGGAGATAAAACTACTGTAGTATCTACAAATAGAAAAGGGAAGTCTTAGATAACAGAAAAACTTTGTCTAGTTTTCCTTTTCTTTTTTTTTTAAAGATTTTATTTATTTATTTGAGAGGTAGAGTTACAGACAGTGAGAGGGAGAGACGAGAGAAAGGTCTTCTGTCTGCTGGTTCACTCCCCAAGTGGCTGCAACAGCCGGAGCTGCGCTGATCTGAAGCGTCTTCTACTGCTTTCCCAGGCCACAGCAGACAGCTGGATCTGAAGAGGAGCAGCCGGGACTAGAACGGCGCCCATGTGGGATGCCAGCGCTGCAGGCGGAGGATTAACCAGCCCCAGTAGGTTTTCTAAGCTAGTAATTACGTGTCTATTTTGTTCTTGTCAAGTTTCCTTGTCCTTGGGAATAATGACTTGAACAGCTGTCTGGAAAGTGCAGTAGGTAACACTAGGGGCTAAATAATTGAGAATTGATCAGATTTTCCCAACAGAGAAACCCGATGTCCTTCCTTCCTTCCTTGGCTTCTCTTCTGTGAACTTAGTTTCTGTTAAATGAAATGTATTCCAATGAAGGGTATTGACTGTCTTACTCCAGAAACCTAGAAAAATTGGTGTAAGACCAGTATGTGAGGCACTTTGGCCACATCCATACTTGGATCTAGAATTAATAATTTTAAGCTAAGATTTAATTTTTAAAAATATTTGTCATACCCACTGGAAAGAAATCAAATGATATAACAAGACAAGAGAAGGTAACAGAAAAAGTGCTGGGGTTAGAAGATGTAAAATCTAGACCTGCTGCTGTCTCATGAGCTGTGGCATCTTGAGGAAATAATGTAGCCTTCCTGATTCCTCTTAGCAAAGATGAGGATAGAACTGACCATCCTGGCCGGTGCCGCGGCTCACTAGGCTAATCCTTCACCTGCAGCACCGGCACCTGGGGTTCTAGTCCTGGTTGGGGTGCGGGTACTAGTCCCGGTTGCTCCTCTTCCAGTCCAGCTCTCTGCTGTGGCCCGGCAGTGCAGTGGAGGATGGCCCAAGTGCTTGGGCCCTGCACCCGCATGGGAGACCAGGAGAAGCACCTGGCTTCTGGCTTCAGATCGGTGCAGCACCGGCCGTAGTAGCCATTAGGGGAGTGAACCAACAGAAAAGGAAGACCTTTCTCTCTGTCTCTCTCTCACTATCTATAACTCTGTCTCTCTCTCACTAATTCTGCCTGTCAAAAAAAAAAAAAAAAAAAAAAAAAAAAAAAGGACTGACTGTCCTGTCCACATTACAGGACTGGTGAGATCCCTGAGTAAGATAATGTATATAAATATGTTGTATACTTTTAGGTGTCACATACCAGTATAACACGACAGGGCGTCATCGTGCAGGGACGGTTCACTGTTGACATTGGAATCAGAGCACTCTCTTTCTTCCAGCTCTGAAAGTACCATCCAAAGTCTTAGGAAAGACCACCAAAGACAGTTTTCAGAACCTGATGAGAGGCCAATCCAGGGAACAGTTCAACCCGAGGGAGCTGATTGGTATGAAAACTGTTTCAGAGTGACATCCCTGAAGTGTCCCGTGAGCAAGCAAACTTCCAGCTGGACTGAGAAGACAAAGATATCAATAGGTGTGGTTTTCTTTTTTTAATTGCTTGGGAATGCAATAAGTATATGTTTTTCATTATATTATTATTAGCAAGCCCTATGAAATCTTTTTTTAGATTTATTTATTTATTTATGAATGGAAAAGCAGAGTGACAGAGGGAGGGAGGAGAGGGAGAGAGAGAGAGCTTCAATTTGCCGGTTCACTCCCCGAATGGCCGCAACAGCCAGGGCTGGGCCAAGCCAAAGCCAGAACCAGGAGCGCCATCCTGGCTGTGCATAGAGGTGGCAGGACTGCCTTCCAGCACATCAGCAGGAAGCTGGATGTGTAGTGAGGAGCAGGGACTCAGCCTCGTGCTCCGACAGGGGAGCTGGCCTCGCAAGTGGCAGCTAGTCCTGCTGCCCCACAATGCCAGCTCTCCTGTGAACTACTTTTGTAAACAAGGGGAATTGATAGCCTTTTCAGTTCTGTCTCAAAAATTACTTGTCTTGTTTAATCTCCATAGGAGTTGAATATAGAACAAAACTATTTGTTTGATATAGGCTTGAAAAAAGAATTGTCTTGGCAGTATCTTCCTATTATTGATGCTTTTCACTCTCAACACTATCCCCCAAGGAAGTAAAAGGACACGCCATGACCATATTCTAGCAGGTCCTGCCCTCTGCACCTGAGGTTTTCAGTTGGAAACCATCTTTGGCTTCTGCGTTTTTAGATTTGGCCCTAGCGGAAGGCCGTTGTAGTTCATGTTTCTGTCTTGGGATGTGCCTGTAATGAAGTTCCTCTCCAGAGGTCAGGGGAGATTATTCAACCCTGATTCCCGCAAGGTAATCCGTTGTAGTTTAAAGTACAGTAGTGAGGCTAAGGTCAAGTTCACTTGCTTCAACTCAGTGATTGCTTGAATCACCACCTGCCTACCTCAGTGAGCCGTGACGATCATTCAGTAAGTCTCAGAAACTGGACTCCATGGAAACTGTGCTTATCGTGATATTTCCTTTTCTTTTTTTTCCTCTGGAATAAATTAGCATTTTTATTTATCTTCCTCATATTGTCTTATAAAGAAACAGAGCCACTCTCTTCATTAATTCTTGAAAAAGTTATCTCAAGATAACCATATGGAGTAATTGGTCAAATAGAGTAATATTGACATTTTAAATAAATGTTTAAAAAAATCATATTCACTTAGATTCTCAATTTCATATGGCTATGCCAAGCTAATAAACTATTTCATGAAAGTTTAAATGTCACCCAGAGGAGACTGCTGTGAGTGTTAGGGAACCGAATGTTAGAAACAGCTAAGAGTATTTTCAGTGTTGAAACTTTTTACGATTTTACTAGCCATTTGAATGTCTCTTCTGAGCCATCACTTGAAATGTGTTTGACTTTTCTATTAAAGTCTTAATCTTCATGATTTATAAAGGTGACTGACATATTAAGACTGTTAATCCTCTCCTTGTCATAAGTTTTTATAGACACTTCCCCTAAGTTCTATTTTATCTAGCATATTTTATATGTATAATTTCTTTGATTGTCTTTACTTATTTTGGTCTCTTTTGTGGGTTTCTTTTTACTTCGTTGTTCTAAAGCTTGTAATAGCTTATCCCATTTCCAAATAATATAAATAATCATCTATTTGCCTTTTAAATAGCCATATTTTAAAAATTGTGGTCACGTGTTGTGAGCAGTGTATTAAGCTGCTTGTGACAACCATGTCCCACATTAGAGTGTTGGTTGGAGCCTTGGCTACTCCAGTTCTGATCCAGCTTCCTGTTAGTGTGTCTGGGAAGGCAACAGATGATGGCTGAAGTGGTTGGGTCCCTGCTACCCTCATGGAAGAAGTTCTGTGCCCCAACTGTTGTGAACATTTGGAGAGTGAACTAGCAAATGAGACTATCTCATCTGTGAGTCTATCATCCGTCTCTCTCTCTTCCTCACTATTACTCTTTTAAATAAATAAATCTTTTTTTAAAAATTTAACCTTTGTTTCACACTGTAGCAAATAATTAACTCAAAATGGATCATATTCCCTTTGACCGTATTTATTTATTTTATTTTATTATTTATTTATGTGGGTTCTCTCGCTCTCCTTCTCACACATACACATGCACACACAATCACACACACACACACATACACACACACACACCCCACTAGTTGGTGAGCTCCTTGAGAGCTAGGATTTATCTCTGTTTTCAGCACCAAGGATATGGCATGGAACATTAGAAGATACTCAATTGTTTGTTGAATAAATAAGTGACATGGATTTTAGCCAAAAAAATAAGTGGATCATAGATCTAAATATCAAAGATAAAATTTTCTAATTCATAGAATACAGGTTATAAAAAGCCTTTGTGATGTTGGACTAGGCAAAGATTCCTTAAATAGCTCTCAAAAACATTAAATCAAGAAAGAAAAAAAATGTACTTCATCAAAATCAGTTTCCTTAGAAGTCACCATTAAGAACATTAAAATGGGCCGGTGCCATGGCTCACTAGGCTAATTCTCCGCCTGCGGCACCAGCACCCCGGGTTCTAGTCCCGGTTGGGGCACCGGATTCTGTCCCGGTTGCTCCTCTTCCAGTCCAGCTCTCTGCTGTGGCCCGGGAAGGCAGTGGAGGATGGCCCAAGTGCTTGGCCCTGCATCCGCTTGGGAGACCAGGAGAAGCTCCTGGCTTTGGATCAGCACGGTGCGCTGGCTGCAGCAGCCATTTGGGGGGTGAACCAACGGAGAAGGAAGACCTTTCTCTCTGTCTGACTCTGCCTGTCAAAAAAAAAAAAAAAAAAAAAAAGAACATTAAAATGCATAGCACATATTGGGAGAAATGTTTGTAAAATGTATATCCAATAAAGGATTTAACTATATCCAGTAAAAAACTTTATAATATATAAGGAGCTGCTAAAATTTAATAATGTGGCAAACAATCTGATTTTAAAACTAGGAAAAATATTTGAACACTGATGGAAAAAATAGATATATGAATAGTTAATAAGTATATGAAGACATGTTCAACAACATTAATTATTAGGGAAATGCAAACTAATTTCCACAATGAACTACTACTACACAAACTACAACAATATCTAAAATTTACAGGACTGACAATGCCAAGTGTTGGCAAGGATTTAGAGCAACTAGAACTCAAATGCATTGTAGTTGGAAATTTGAAAAAGTATAATCACTTTGGAAAAGTGTGTCTTAAAATTGACATATCAACATTTTCCTACTGTGTGACTAGAGTACTAAAAGTTATTCACCCAATTGAAAGCATATGTTTACATATTTTTATGTTTATGTTAATATCAGCTTTATTTCTAGTACACCCAAATGGAAATAACCCAATATCCCCCAACAGATGATATGGTGTTTCCACACTAGGGAATAGAAGGCCCGTGAACACTGGGCAGTAGCTGAGCCACTGCTCTGGATGCCAGAGGCCCGTATCAGGGTGACGTTTGAGTCCCGGGTGCTCTGCTTCCAATCCTCTTCACTGCTGGTGTCTCCTGGGGCCATGGATAATAACAACTCAAGTGCATGGGCCCCTGCCATCCACACAGGAGGCCCAGAGGGTTGCAGGCTCCTGGGCTCAGCCTGGCTGGGCCCTGACTATTGTAGGCACTTCAGGAGTGAACCAGTCGATGAAAGATAACTGGGTCCCTCCCTCCTCTGTGTGTATGTGCATGTTTGTGTGTGTGTATGTGTGTGTGTGTCATCCTCTCTGTCTCTCATACACACACACACATACACACACACACACCAGAAGCCACTGGGCAGAAACGGCCTCAAGTTTTCACCATCCCCCTACCAGGATTAAATTTGGCTCCTTTCCATCATCCTTTCTTAAGCAGAGGAATTACTATCCCTCATGCCCATCAATATCCTCACAGATGTAATTCTATTAACCTCACTCTCACCTTCCTCAAAATATACTCAGCACTTCACTTCCTCAACTGTACCTCTTGGCCTGCTGAAATCTGGCTACTGGCACCATCCCGATAAAATGACTATTTCCAAAGCCATCAGTCCTTATGATATGAGTACTGTTCCCAGAGCCTTTTAAGCCCTCTGTCCCTTGATCATTGAGCTACTTGACAGACATGTCTGTGGCACTACTCCACCTTGATTTACTACTGATTCTCCAGCCTTTCATGAAATAGGTGATGAGATGTGTGAAGAGGGGCCCACGTGAGACATCACTTGTACATAACTTTTAAAGTGTGAGGCAAGCATGTGGCCTAGCCGTTAGGACGCCTGTGTCCCACCTCAGAGTGCCTGAGTTCAGTACCCTGTTCTGCCTCCTAACCCCAGCTTCCTGCAGGACCTTGGGGGGCAGCCGTGATGGCTCAGGTAATCAAGTTCCTTCCATCCGTGTGGAAGACCTGGATTGCGTTCTAGCATTTGGCTTTGGCCCCAGCCGGAGACCACAGTGGGCACTTGAGGAACGAACCAGTACATGGGCTCTGTCTCTCTCTTTGTCTCTCTGCTTTCCAAATAAATAAATAAAGTTCAAGTTTTAAGTGGGTTCCTCCCTAGGACTCCATCCTTTTTCTCTCTTCTCACCACATACTTTACTTCTGAGCCCGTCACCCATATCTGTAGCTTCAGCCAACGACTGCTCACTATCGCATTTTAATCTTCAGACTAGGCCTCTCTTGAATCCCGTGCTCACCTGCCTACGGGGTCTCTCCATTTGTTTCGCCCCACTGTCCTTCTGTTCTGCTCACTGTTCTTCTCTCCCTCCTGCATTTCGTGTTCCTGTCACTATGCTGCCAGCATCCAGTTACGTAAGTGACAATCACAAGATTTACCCTAAGCCTCTACATGTCTGCTCTTGCCGTCCAACAGTGAAGCTCTGTGCACTCTGTCCCCTCAAGGTGTGCTGCATCTGCCTCTTCATTGTAACGCCCCCACTCTAGTTCAGGTGCTCCCTTGAAACTCTGAGCTTTGCCTCCCTTGAATCTGCGCATTGGCTTCCTACCTTCTCTCCCTGCCCCATGTGTCATTTTTCTCCACCAGTTTTCCTCTGGATGCCAGTGTGGTCTCTGAAAAGTGCAGAGCTGATTATTTCATTTCCCTGCATAAAATCTCCAATGGCCCTCCAGCTGTTCAGTTCAAAACACATTCACTAACCATCTACGAGTCATGAATCATTCCTGTCTCAGTCACTCAAAAGTGTTATTACGGCAAACAAGGCCTCTAATTGTTCACACTTACCTGACATTCTAGTCACTTTCAACTGTATTTTTGAGTTCCCAAATGTGATTTATTTGGGCCAGCGCCGTGGCTCAATAGGCTAATCCTCCACCTGCGGCACCGGCACCCCGGGTTCTAGTTCTGGTCGGAGCACCAGATTCTGTCCTGGTTGCTCCTCTTCCAGTCCAGCTCTCTGCTGTGGCCTGAGAAGGCAGTGGAGGATGGCCCAAGTGCTTGGGCCCTGCACCCCATGGGAGACCAGGAGAAGCACCTGGCTCCTGCCATTGGATCAGTGCGGTGCACCGACTGCAGCGGCCATTGGGGGGTGAACCAACGGCAAAGGAAGACCTTTCTCTCTGTCTTTCTCTCTCACTGTCCACTCTGCCTGTCAAAAAAATAAAATAAAATAAAGTAAAAAGATATATCTATTTGAAAGTCAGAGTTACGTAGAGAGAAGGAGAGGCAGAGAGAGAGAGAGTTATTTCCATCCACTGGTTCTCTCCCCAGTTGGCTGCAATGGCTGGAGCTGCACTGATCCGAAACCAGGAGCCAGGAGCTTTTTCCAGGTCTCCCACACAGGTGCAGAGGCCCAAGCACTTGGGCCATCTTCCACTGCTTTCCCAGGCCATAGCAGAGAGCTAGATCGGAAGTGGAGCAGCCAAGACTAGAACCGGCACCCATATGGGATGCCAGTGCTGCAGGCGGTGGCTTTACCCGCTGTGCCACAGCGCCGGCCTCCCTTCTTTTTCATTTAGCTAACTTGTTCCCATTCATCAAAACTTAGCTTAATTATACAAGAATTTGGAAATTTCTTTGCCAATACCCACCTCCCCACCATATAGGTATGGCTTGAGGTTTCTCTTCTGTGGTCCTGTAATGAGTGCTCTGACTTATCTCTGTAGGAACAGAGTCTAGTACTTCACTTTTTTCTCTCTAGGCCTAACTCGTGGAATACTGATGGCAAGGACTTGGCTTTTCTTGTCTGTTTACCAATGCTAACATAGTGCCAGATGCATAATAAACATCCAGTTAGTGTTGGCTGAGTGGCCTAGGAATGGTTGTCGCGAAGTTGGGGATAATTCACTTCATTTGCCCGCATTGCTAGATATTATAATCATACACACTTCTGGACTGCAGTGTCTTCCAGGTTCAGTTGATTCGGTGAGTGCTTTAGTCACCTGTGTACTCTCCTTTTAAGAATGGACAATTCCACTAAAACAATAAGCAAAAAACTGTAAAGATGTTCAAATGTAAACACGAGTGGAGAGATTAGAACCATGAAACACAGATGCTCATCACCCACCCTATCACCCTGCTATTCTTGTTCATCTGTATCCCTACCACTATTTTCCCGGAAGTGTTTAAAGCAGATCCCACAGGTCACATTGTTGTGCCCATAAGTATTTCAGTATATACCTCTAAGTAACTACTTTCTTTAACAATGCACGCGGTTCTTGCTGTTATTCTACACGTAGTCTACCTTTTCTTGTGCTCTCCACATGCCAATCAGGAACTGTAACTGTAAACAGTTCTGCCATACCCTTTAAATATCTGACAGCGGGCCTTCCTTCAGGCTTTTCTTAGAGCTTTACCCCTTTTTCTTCTTGATTTTATTAATTTTTTTAAATTGTGGTAAAATTGGCCGGCGCCTCAGCTCACTAGGTTAATCCTCCACCTGTGGCACCAGCACACCGGGTTCTAGTCCCAGTCAGGACGCCGGATTCTGTCCCGGTTGCCCCTCTTCCAGGCCAGCTCTCTGCTGTGGCCTGGGAGTGCAGTGGAGGATGGCCCAGGTGCTTGGGCCCTGCACCCCATGGGAGACCAGGAGAAGCACCTGGCTCCTGACTTCAGATCAGCAGTGGCCATTGGGGGGGTGAACCAACGGAAAAAGGAAGACCTTTCTCTCTGTCTTCTCTCTCACTGTCCACTCTGCCTGTCCAATAAAAAAAGAAAACTTGTGATAAAATTACATAACACAAAATATGCCATTGTCATTATTTTTAAGTATTAAGTACATTCACAGTGTTGTGCAAACAGTCCCCAGAACTTTTCTGCTTCTACAACAAACTCCATGCCCATTCAGTAGCCCTTCACTTCCTCCAGCTGCTGGAAACGGTCCTCTGCTTTGTGTCTGTGACTTTGTCTCTTCTAGGTACTTTATATAAATGGAGTCAGATATTTGGAAAACAAATATCGTATTTGGTTTTTTTTTTTCTCATTGGGCTTATTTCATATAATATCATATCCTCAAGGTGCACCTTGGTAGGGCATGTGTCAGTAATTTATTTCCTATGTAGGCGTAAGTACCAGCCCACTCTGCGGCTTGACCCCATTTTGTGTCTCCATCTGTAGATGACACTTGGGTTGCTTCCACCTTACAGCTACTGTGTCTGGTGTTGCTGTGAGCACAGCTGTACACCTGTCTCCTTGAGACCCCCGCTGTGAGCACGGCTGTACATCTGTCTCCTTGAACCCCTGCGGTGAGCACGGCTGTACACCTGTCTCCTTGAGACCCCCGCGGTGAGCACGGCTGTACACCTGTCTCCCTGAGACCCCCGCTTTCAGTTCTTTCAGTTCCTATAACCAGAAGTGGAATTACTGAAAGCCACTTGGAATCATGTGGTAATTCTATTTTGAATTTTTAAAGGAACTACCATACTATTTTCCACAGAGACTATGCCATTTTACAGTCTCATAAACACATGTGATTTCTGGTTGTTTTTTGTTGTTGCTGCTTGTTTTGTTTTGTTGAATTTTTTTTTTTTGGTTTGGGTTTGGGGTATGTTTCTGTTTTTGAATTTTGGATAGCAGCTATCCTAATAGGTATGGGATAGAATAAATACTTTTTAAAAGTGTTATTTATCTAGTGTCATAATTAACAAATAATAAAACACTTCACATCATCTAATGAAAATAAATTTTTCTAACCTAATCCTCTCATAGTCTTCCCCTATCTCATTCAGAAGTCAGGAAGTTTGGATCTACCATTGATTCCTCCCTTCTACCCTCACATCTAATACCTTAGAAAATCCCACAATATATCCGAGACCTCCCCTCTCCCTAGAATTTCCATTCTTCAAGCCAAGGTCACCATCCTCACTTCCAGGTTATTTCAACCCTTCAAGATGTCTCCCTGATTGTCTACCCTTGCCCTCTTCAATCTCTTCTCAACTCAGGGTCCCGTATGATACTTGTAAAACAAATCTGTGACAGTCCTCCACTCAAAGCCTTCCAATGTTTCGCCATTATACACTCCGTAAAAATTAAAGTTCTTACAGTAGCCTATGGGCCCTATATGAGCTGAGTCCCAGGTTACCTGACTGAACTCACATAGCTTTCTCCTTAGTTCATTCTGCTGCAGCCACTAAGCCCATCTTGTCTCGCACACACCACTGTGCACCTACTTGCCTTTACTGTCCCTCCTACCTGTAATGACATCTCCTCTGATACCTGCTTGGCTCACTCCCTAACTCCTGTGATGTGTCCGCTTCACAGGGAAGCCTCCTCCTAACTCCGTCCTAAAAACAGAGATCAGTTCACCTAAGAATTCTCTGTTCCCCTCGATTGCTTTATTTTATATTGTAAGCTTCACAGTTTACTTGTTTATTTTCTGTCCACTGTCATTAAAGTGTAAAGTTCAGATGGGCAAGAAATTTCAGCGTAAACCCTTAGCATACAATAATGCATTATAAATAATTGTTGAATGAATACAGTGCACGTATACCTACACATATCTTTACGGTTGCTCCTCAGACCTGCGTCACACTTGAAAAACAGAATGAAACATTGCACATCTCTCCCAAGCAAGAAGACTGACACAAATTGGACTGATGATGAAAAAGGATCCTACAGGGACAAGAGAATAGCTCAAAGTCAAGAAACACTGCAGTATCTGCTCCCTGTCGTGGAAAGCACTAGAACTGTGCCACCTCCTCAGTTAAAACAGCTCCTCAACCCAGGACCCAACATCCCAACCCAACATCAGTAAGTCAACAGCGTGTTTTCATCCTTAGCTCTTTAAGACATTGTTATAAGGAAACGGACTTACTGATTCAGTATCCTGAAAAACAAGTGTAGGCTCTTAAAAATGGTGTCAGCTATACCCCATCTGACCAAGGGACCAAGGCCCTAAGAAAACACGGGACGTGTGAAGAAGCGCATGATCAGCCCTTGTTTGATTGGTTACTTGTATGGAACGACTCATTCATTTGAATCTGTGAATAAAGTCGGCACCAATAAAATGTGATCATCTCACTTAAAATATTGCAGGTGTTTTTAAACCTAATAATCCTAGGGGCAGCAAAAATTAGAAATAATTAACCTTAAGGACTTAAGTTTATTGATCCTCATAGGAAAGAAGAAAAAGTGAAACCAGATTTCTTTTAAAAATAAAAAAACCATCTTTAAAGACAAAAAGAAACCAATATAGATAAAAGTGAAGATAGCAACAAGTAAATACATATAATAAGTACTTTCTGTGTTACACTGTTTACACAGCCATTCTTCGGTGTCTGTGGTTTCTACATCAGTGAATTCAGCCAACCACAGATCTACATGAATTTTGGATCCACAGTTGGTTGAATTCGTGGATGTAGAATTCATAGATACTGAGGACTGACTTGTGCATCTTACATTTGACACATGAGGAAATAGAAATATGAAAAGTTACATAAGTTGTCCATAGTCACACAAGGTAGAAGAACCTGGATTTGAACCCAGCTAGACATTCTGACTCCAGAGTTCTGAACTCCGTCATTATGCTTTGCCACTTACCTTACCATACAGGTGAGAAACAGATCCAGTCTTCTTAATATACAAAGAGTACTTCCAGTTGTGAATATTTTTAAAGGAGAATGGCCAAAGGCTATGAATAAGAAGTCACAAAGGAAAACCGTGGTCACTGAACATGTGGAGACGTTTGCTCTTGGGACAGGTTATACAGCAGGTTAAGCTGCGCTTGCAGCTGTGGCATCCCCTGCTGGAGTGCCGGTGCAAGTCCTGGCTGCTCCGAGCCTGGTGCAGCTCCCTGCTACTGTGTCTGGGAAAGCAGAGGAAAACGAACTAAGTCTTTGGGTCCCTGCCACCCATGTGGGTGACCTGGATGGAGTCCCAGGAGGCTTTGGCCTGGCCCTGCCCCAGGTGTTTGTCCCCAGGACATTTGGGGAGTGAACCATGGGATAGAAGAACTCACACTCTCTCTCTCTGTCCCTCACTCTTAGTCACTTTGCCTTTCAGATAAATAAAATAAATATTATAAAAAGTCAGTCTCACTTAAATCTAGAGTACAAATTAAAACAATGATGAAACGCCATGTACTTTTGCTTGTCCGTGGAAGAATTTATTAAATGATTTTGGGAATATAAACTAGTACAGTTTCTGGAAGGCAATCCAATATTATAAATAAAAACCCTTACAATCATATATTCATTGTGACTAAGAAATCCACTGTTGGAAACTGATCATAAGTCATAAGTTAAAAAAGAAAACCTCGATAAAGGCCGAAACATTCTTGTAGAGTTGTGTTCATTTCATTATTCTTTTATTGTAACAGTCAAAATAAGAAGAGAATAACCTAAATGTTCAACAATATAAGGTTGCCTAAATAAATTATAATATATCCATTAAATGAGATATGTAGCTATTAAACACCATGTGTATTAATTAGCCTGGATTGATGCTTAAAATATATAAATATATAAGCAAATAAAAACAGGCACAGAACAGTTTCATTTGGTATATCTGCTTATTATCAACACAAACACATATATACCTAGGAAAAACTCTAGAAGCACACATCCCTAACAACAATTTCCTCTGAATAACTAAGGTATTGGTAGAGGAAGATATTCCTCTTCATGGTTTTTTTTTCTTGAATGTTTATTGATGGTTATTTCCTCGTTGTATAATAAGCAGCATCAAACAATTATAAAACGAGGCAGTTGTTGACAATTTCTATGGAGTGGGGTAGCTGTCCTGCTGGGGAGAGGCAGTTAAGTCTCAAAGGTCACCAGCAGGAGAGAAACGGATGGACAGTGTAGGCCCAGGCAGACAAGATCATGGACCAGAAAATTCTCAAATCTGGAGACTCATAACAAGATACAGTAGACCTAGGCAGAGAGACCAAGAAGAAATCATGGAGTTAGGCAAGGGGCCTGGGGGACAAGTAGGACAAGACCTTATTTGTATTTGTTACTTTCATAAGTAATTCTTTCTATGCTTTGAACCCAGAAATGTACTCAGTGTGGATTGGCCTGAGCCTAAAGGCATAGACAAATAATTGATTATGTCAGTTAAGATCTGTTTGTTTACAACCAAAAGAAACCAGCTGAAACTAGTTTAATCAAAAAGTGCAAGGTAAGGGTAGTGAGGAAGGCTTATACAAGGTTACTCATGGAAACAGGGGTGAAGGAATTCAGCCAGGCTTCAGGAGAGCACTGGAAGTGGAGAGAGAAAATCTAAGGACCCCCTAGTCTTCCATCTCTGTTCTTCCTTTCTCTGCAGAGAAGTTGTCACGTCCCTTAGATCACAAAGCTGCATCCTACAGCAGTCTCACTTACAAGACTGATTCAGTATCTCTCATTCCTAATTCTAAATTACAGGGAAAGATAACCTGATTGGAACCAGGCCAGGGCATAGAGGTCACGTATTTGCAAACACAGCTGTTGGAAAGCCCTGCCCTTGTGTATCTAGACAGTTCTCAGAGAAGGTAACCCTCAGAGAATCTACTGTAGACAGACATGGAAATACTAAAAAGGAGCAAAGGAGCAAGAGAGACCATTCCAGCAGGTGTCCCCGCTGCTTACTGAAACATGAGTGAGCTGCCGTTCTTGCCCTTACGACTTCCTTCTTCACGGCTGCGTTTCCTCTTTATACCTCTGCCGTCTGACTGGCTCGGCTCTCTACGGACCACTACTGTAGTACCTGCTCGCGGAGTGCAAGGAGAACTGCATAATGAGCTCACGCCTCTGCTGAGTCATTTTGAACATGACTCCCAGCTTGGACTCAGGAGAGACCGGTACATGTGATCTAAGCTTGCCACATTACCGTACGGAAGGACTTAATATCCGAATTTGCTAACAAGATCCTGTTCATTACTTACAAAACAAACAGGATAACTCCAAAAGGTGGAGAAAAGAAGGCCAACAAGGTGGGACTAAGAGACCCTGGGAACAACTTAGTGGTGAGTCACCTGGATTGTCTTTTTCCCTCATCTGTGTACGACTTGGAGGTGAAAGAGCCCACGACCTAGAAACACCAGTGGGCACACAAATTCCAACAAAAGCCTGAGCCAGATCAGCAAAATACCAGGAAAATGACGGCCTTCCAAGATAGAAAAGTTTTAGACAGTAATCATTCTGCTGCATCCCAACACCACAAAGAAACAGGTCCCATTCCCACCCCGTAAGCAGAAGCAAAGTGAGGGATCTAGACGTCTGCTTTCAGGAAGTGTAATGAGACATCCCAAAACCTGTGCTGGGGAGGTAGCAATAGACCTTGTCCCCACTAGGTTATAAGGAACACTCCCCCAACTAGTGTCACTGGAAACCTAGAGTAAACCAGAGGATGGAAGATCCATCTATATCTCTGTATCTCTCTCTCTCCCTGTTACTCTGCCTTTCAAATAAATAAGTAATTTTTTTAAAAGTACTGATGAGGTAGACGTGTGGGCTAGCGGTTAAGATGCCAGTTAGGGCACCCGCACCCCCCCATCACAAAGTCTGGGTTTAATTTTCAGCTCTAGCTCCGGTTCCAGCTTCCTTCTAAAGCAGGAAGAATGCAGCAGTGATAGCCCAAGTAACTGAGTTTCTGCCACCCGCCCGGGAGGCCTGGGTGGGCTTTCCAGCTCCCAGTGGTGGCTGGCCCAGACCTGGCCACTGCAGCCATCTGGGGAGTGAGTCGGTGGGTGGGAGCTTTCTCTTCCTGCCCCGCCACGATAAATAATCTAAAATACTAATAAAACAGCTCTACTTGCACTCCATTCCTGTTAGCATTTCAAATGTTTTATGTTCTATTTTGTATCTTGCTGCATTATCTATCTCTTAACATCTCAATGTGGCTATTATTTTTCAATGTTTTGGCCTTCATACTGAAGCTAGGAGCGGTTTGTGTCAAAAGCATTCTGAGCCTGTGTATCACCCTCACCAGTGAGCCTCACACCCGGATTATCTCCGCTGGGCTCAGCAGCCCCTCTCTCTCTCTCTCTCTCTCTCTCTCTGAAGAACCCTCTTTGGCATTTCCCACAGGGCAGGTCTGCTGGTGACGAGCCCCTCAGCTTGTCTATTTCGGGGAAGGTCTTTATTGCCATCATATCTGAAGGACAGCTTGCCAGGCGCAGTCTTCTTGATTGAAAGTTTGCTGCCTTCAGCGCTGTGAAGCCTGAGACCTCTCTCTTCTGGCCTGTAAGGTTTCTTCTGAGACGTATCTATCAAGTGAGTTAGGACACCCTTATACGTTATTCATTTTCTCTTGCTACTTTGAAAATCCTCTTTTCATTTTTAACTTTGTGGAACTTTATTATAATGTCTTTGGTTAGGTCTGGTTGAAGTGAATCTAACTGGTGACCTTTGATCTTCCTGTTGTATCTTTCTCTAGGTTCAGAAAGTTTCTATTATTATTCTCTTTAAAATGAATTCTCTGTCTTTAAGATTTATTTCTTTGAAAGGCAGAGTTGTAGAGAGAGAGAGAGAGAGGAAAAAAAAAAAGAGATCTACCATCTGCTGGTCCACTCCCCAATGGACATGGCTGGGCCAGGCTGAAACCAGAGGCCACGAACTCCATCCCGGTCTCCTCAGGGGTGGCAGGGCCCAAATACGTGGCTCGTCTTCTGCTGCTTCCCCGGGTGCATTACCAGGGAGCTGCACCAGACACTGAGCAGCCTGGGCTCAGCCTGCCCTCGTACGAGATGCCGGCATCGCAGGTGGTGGCTCAACCTGCTGTGCCACACACGGGCCCTAAGTTAAGGGCTATACCCCTCTGCAATTGCC